CCCGACCTCCCGACCACTTCCCCAGGACCGGTTTTTCATCCCGAGTCGTTTTTTGACGCTCCCGAGGCCCGGCGAGGGCCCCGAGAGGCCGAAAACTGCGAAAAACCTCCGTCTCGATTTTTTCGAGACGCCCGATGTCTGGGAGCCGACGTGCAGCCGAACCTCCAGGTCCGCGACGGGCCGCTCGCACACGCGCCTCGTCGGCTCCCGGGCGGACGCGGGCCGCGGCGGCATCGCCCGCGGACCACTGGGGGCGCCGGGAGGCCGCCCCGGCCCGCTGCAGCGGGCGGGGCCCTCTCGGGCGCGCGGCGAGCCCCACGCGGCGCTGCGCTCGAGGGGCGCCTTCGGGCCCTCGACGCGATCCCGCCGTACATAGGGAATTCCCACTCGTCGGGCGTCTCGAAACCATCGAGGCAAAGGTCTTTCACAGTTTGGGGCCTCTCGGGGCCCTCGCCAGGCCTCGGGACCGTCCAAAAACGACTCGGGGTGAAAAACCGGTCCCAGGGAAGTGGTCGGGAGGTCGGGGGCCCGCGTCCCGAAAAAATCGAGACGTCGGATGTCTGGGAATACAGGGCGGAAGTTTCTCGCCGTCTTCGGCCTCTCGAGGCCATCGCCGGGCCCCGGGAGCGTCCAGGGCCGTTCCGGGGGCGCCCAGGTCGTTCCGGACGGCCGCCGGAGAGCCTGGGTATGTGACCCGAAAGCCAGTGAAGAGAGATGGGGTCCGGGGCTTCAGTCGTGATTTCTCCGGCTGGCCCAATGTTTTCGATATACGTCGGATCCCAGACATCCGACGTCTCGATGTTTTCGAGACGCGGGCCCCCGACCTCCCGACCACTTCCCTGGGACCAGTTTTTCATCCCGAGCCGTTTTTTGACGGTCCCGAGGCCCGGCGAGGGCCTCCCGAGGCCGAAAACTAGGAAAAACCTCCGCCTCGATTTTCTCGAGGCTCCCGAGGTCTGGGATCTCAGATGTGAAGCGAGCCTGGGAAGCCCTAGACCGCCAATTTCAAGCCCCGCTAATGCCAATTTCCGCCCTACTTTTCTGTTGCTGTTTCTGTGGATTTCCGCTCTATTTTATGTTGGGTGCAGCAATTTCCGCCCTACTTGTTCGGCCTCTGGTAGGTGGATTTCCGACGCAATTTTAAGTTGGAAAAAAAGCTAAAGTAGGGCGGATCCGGAGTCAGGGAAGCCCTACAGACCGCCAATTGCCACCCAGACCTCCGACGTCTCGATATTGTGTCGAGACGCGGGGGCCCCCGACCTAGCCCGACGCCACTTCCCCGGGGCCGGCTTTTCCTCCCGAGTCGTCTCTTTTGACGCTCCGGCGAGGGCCGGCGAGGGCCCCGCGGGAGGCCGAAATTCCCAGACATCGGGCGTCTCGAAAAAATCGAGACGGAGGTTTTTCGCAGTTTTCGGCCTCTCGGGGCCCTCGCCGGGCCTCGGGAGCGTCAAAAAACGACTCGGGATGAAAAACCGGTCCTGGGGAAGTGGTCGGGAGGTCGGGGGCCCGCGTCTCGAAAAAATCGAGTCGTCGGATGTCTGGGTTTGGAAAAACCTCCGCCTCGATTTTTTCGAGACGCCCGATGTCTGGGCAGCAGCAGCTTCTCTTGATCGAGACTGCGTCCAAATCCCAAATCTATTCAGGCAGCCGGCTCTCGCCTCGATGCCGTCGACCCGCCTCTTCACTCTTGCTGTCAGGAGGGGGCCCCGCAGGATTTGTTTTGTGCTCGCGCTGCTGGGCGCTTCCGCGCCGTGTCGGGCCCTGGGGACCACAGCCAAACCGTAGAGTGAGGATGCGCGATGAGGATGCAAGGTCCTTGGAAGCCCATTCCGAAGTTTTCGAGCGGGGCGCGGCCGACGAAAGTGGCCAAGGATGCACCGAGGAGGCAAGGATGCAAGGGTACCCTTGGGAAGGTTGCCCGTCCTTACTATGCGGCTTGACTGCATCACAGATCGGCCAGGCTCGAACAATTGTGCAGAAAGGTGGGGCCCATGGCTCCCTGAGATCCGACGTCGCAAAAGTTGCAGCATCGCAGAATCACGACCGGATCAAATCAAAAAAAAAAAGAAAAAAAAGAAGACAAAAAAAAAGAGAAAAAAAGGAAAAAAAAAAAGAAAAGAAAAAAAGAGATAAAAAAAATAAAAAGAAAAAATAAAAAAGAAAAAAAACAAAAAAAAAAAAAAATGAATAAAAACTAGAACGGAGCAAACTAGAAAAGCCCTGGACCCCACCTTTCCGCGTCATCTCTCGAGCCGGATCGATCTGTGAGGGCCCCAGGGCCCGAAGAATGCCTGGCTCGGAAAAATTGAGACGCCAGCCCAGAAATGCGACGTCCTGATTTCTGTGAGAGCGTGTTCCACCGCCTCTTTACTGTGGAAAATTCCCCCCCTCTTCCTCCGGAACCCAGGCCCGCCCCCCCCTTCCGAAAATCCCCCCCCCTGCTGGATCCCCCCCCCTTGCCCCGGCAAAACCTCCCCCCTCCCCTATCACCCCCCCCCCCCTCGAAAACCGGGGGGGGTCACTACCGGTTCGACCCCCCCTCCCCCCCCTCTCTCCTCCAGAAAACCGGGGGGGGGTCACTACCGGTTCGAACCCCCCCCCCCCTCCCCTCCAGAAAACTGGGGGGGGTGTCACTACCGGTTCGAACCCCCCCACTCCCCTCGGAAACCAGGGGGGGTCACTACCGGTTCGACCCCCCCCCCTCGAAAACCGGAAAGGCTCACTACCGGTTCGAACCCCTCCCCCCCCCACGCTCACCGCCAGCAAACGACTCCCGGTCCCTACCACAGCCCGCACCACATCCCCCACTGCTTTCCCCAGCATCAGTCCTCACCATCACTGTCCCCGCTGGTTCCACCACCGTCCCTGCTGTCCCCACCAGTGCCCCCACCACTGTCGCACTGTCCCCACTGTCCCCACCACTGTTTCCACCACGGTCCCACTCTCCCCCACTTTCTCCACGGCTCCAACCACTGCCCGACTGTCCCCACTGTTCCCGCCATTGTCCCCGCTGTCCCCACCAGTGCCCCCAGCAGTGTCAATGTCCCCACTCTCCCCGGCTCGGCGGCGAAAGGGGGGGGGTTCGAACCGGTAGTGACCCGCCCCCCTCCCCCCTCAAAAACCCGGAGGGTGGCCTCTTGGGGCTTCTTGGGAATCTCTTGGGGCTTCCTGGGATTGGACTATTCGGGCGGACCCCGTCATTTATAGAGGATCCGAGGTGGGGGTCGACTTTCCTCGAGCGGGCACGCGCGAAACGCATTTTTTCACGCCGAATTAAACTTTATACCTCGTTTTGCTGGAATCCGGAACCCGGAACCACGAATCCGCATATCCGAATTGGGAGGTCCAACCTGGAACCTGGAACCCGGAACCCGGAAACCGGAATCCGGATATCCGAATTCGGAAGCCCGACCCCAAACCTGGAATCTGGAACCCAAAACCACGAATCCGCACATCCGAATTAACTCAGAGGTCCAATCCGGAACCTGGAACCCGGAACCCGGAGCCCGGAATCAGGATACCCGAACTCGGAGGCCCAATCCAGAACCTGGAACCCGGAACCCCGAATCCGGATAACTCCGAATTCGGACGTCCAATCCGGAACCTGGAACCCGGAAACCCGGAAACCGGATATCCGAATTCGGAGGTCCAATTCCGAAACCTCGAACTCGGAACCCGGAACCCCGAATCCAGATATCCGAATTCGGAGGTCCAATCTGGAACCTGAAACCGGAACCCGGTCTGGATTCACCAATCCGGATATCCGAACTCGGAGGTCCAATCCGGAACCTGGAACCCGGAACCCGGGACCCGGAACCCGGATATCCGAATTCGGATTTCCGACTTCCGAGTTCGATTTCCGAGTCGGACCTCTCCAGCCCGATTCTCCGGACGGGACCCCTGCATGGCAAACCCTGGATCCATGGGAAAACGCCAGGACCCTGAAACCCATACCCCCGACGTAATGATTTTTTCATGACGTCGACCCCCAGAGGTCCCGACCCTTTCCCCATGACCGGCTTTGCATCCTGAGTCGTATTTTGACACTCCCGAGGCCCGGTGAGGGCCCCCGGAGGCCGAAAATTAGGAAAAACCTCCCGTCATGATTTTTTCATTACTCGAGGGGGTCTGGGAAGGCCTCGGGCGGGCTCAAACAGGGATCGTGTGTGCACGAACGCAATGGGCTCGCTGTACGCCGCCTTCGGACATGGCTTACCTGGGCCACAGTGGATGTACGGAGCCCCCTCCCCCACCCCCTTTCCCTCCTCCATCGGCGCTCCTCGGCACTCTTCGGCGCTACCTCTCCTCCTGCACCTCCTGCTCCTCCTGCTCCTCCTCCTCCAGCTCCTCCTCCCTCCTCCTCCTCCTCCCTCCTCCTCCTCCTCCTCCTCCCCTTCCTCTTCTCCTTCCCCCCTCCTCTTCCTCTTCTCCTTCCCCTCTAGGCACTCCTCGGCACTCCTCGGCACTCCTCCGCACTCCTCGGTATTCCTCGCTCCGCACTGCTCGGTATTCCTCGGCACTCCTCGGTAATCCTCGGCGCTCCTAGGCGCTCCTAGGCATTCCTCCCTCTCCTCCTGCTCCTCCTGCTCCTCCTCCTCCTCCTGATCCTCCTGCTCCTCCTCCTCCTCCTTCTTCCTCCTCCTCCTCCTCCTCCTCCTCCCCTTCCTCCTCTCCCTCCCCCCTCCTCCTCCTCTTCTCCTTCCCCTGTCGGCACTCCTCGGCACCCCTCGGCACCCCGAGGCATTCCTCGGCACTCCTCGGCCCTCCTCGGCACTCCTCGGCATTCTTGGCACTTCTCGGCACTCCTCGGCACTCCTCCTCCTCCCTCCCCCCCTCCTCCGATCCTCCTCCGATCCTCCTCCGATCCTCCTCCTCCGACCTCCTCCTCGCCGTTCACCTCCTCTTCCTCCTCCGGTCCGTGTCCTCATGTTCCTTTCCCCTCCTTGCAAAACCCCCAGGAGGATTCGAGGTAGGAAGCGGCGCTTTTTTTTTCGGCCAATCGGCGGGGACCATCCTGTGTGACTGGGGGGTGTAATCTCTTACACCCCCCCTCGGCCCTTGAGGCTGCAAACATCACCAGGACCTAGCTCAAATTAACGGACGCCTTTTCAACCTAAGCGGCCGTGGTGGCAAAGTTATGCCAAGCATGCACAGAGTAGACACCCGGATGAACATTACCGTCACGCCGGACAGTGAGCTCAAATCCAGGTTGGTTCTGACGTCAAAACAAATCGACAGCATCAGTACAACACATGACAGGCTTATCCAGACATCGTACGGGCGGGCTTATCTAGACATCCTTTTTTCACATGCACGCACATGAACTTCAAAATCCAATAGGCACAGCCGCGCCACTGCCTTCAACGGCCATCTGGGGCCCCACGGTGACCTCGAGATCTCCTCACAAGAACCCAGGACAGTCCCGAGACATCCCACATGAACTCCGTGAGAGCCCGTCCAACGTGGCAACGAAAGGCGTCACATGTCATAGCCTTTCCTCCTCGTCCTCGTCGTGGCCACCATCGCCACCATCATCCTCATCATCATCAATCCTCTCATCATCATCATCATCATGCTCATCATCAACAGCATCAGCAGCAGCGCAGCAAGCAGCATCACACCATCAATCATCAATCATCATCAATCATCATCCTCATCAATCATCTCATCATCATCCTCATCATCACAATCATCACTCAACACTCTCAACAATCAGAGCCGCAGGCGCAGGATCATCATCAGCAGCAGCATTATCATTATCATCATCATCATCGTCGTCCGTTCATCGCCAGCAACCCGTCGTCAATCGATCTCTATCATCGTCTCTTCAACAGATCAGAATCGTCCTCATGTTCATGCATCCACCCCCTCAACCGCCTCAAAGATTATCTCTCGTATGTCGTGTCATGCTTTTGGATCCCACTTCACATTCCCCTTTCCCTCTCCTCTTCATTTTTTCGTCGTCATCATTACCATCACCACCACAATCATCATCGTTTTCATGTCCTGCACCAACAAGACATGGGAGAATCCAAGACTGTCCTACGAAGAGCGCGCCACGTGCTACGGTTCTCCCAAACATGGGCATACGAGACATCGCACCTTAGGACATCCGTGATCCCTCGCGCAAACACCACCGAGAAAGCTGGACATTGCGTTGTACAGTTATCGCACCCTTACATGATGTACCCTCAAGCGTGATCCCATACTCGGGAGAGAGTTCCTCCGACCTACCCTCCCTCTTCCTCCTCTTCGTCCTCCTTCTCCTCCTCCTTGTATGATTCCTCTTCCTAGGCGTGCCACGTTGGAACACCACCAAAATTGGTCTCTTCAGGCCTCCGAAAAACAGGAAACATCTCGGAATTTCAGAAGCGAGAGTGGCAAGCCTTAACACTGTATATTCATTATTGGTGGCGCATACGCGAACATACAATCGACTTTCAATTGAAGGAGATAGCTGGTGAAACACACAATCAGCTGGTGAACTGATCAGCCCGTGAAGGGTCCCAGTTGGCCGGTGAAGGGTCCCACTTGGCCGGTGAAGAGACCAATAGCCTTTCACTTCGGCGCACCCATCACGTTTCGTGGCCCCATAGGAGCTCCGCCGAAGGTCCCATTGGCACAGTCCGCATGCGTCCCCGCCTCTCATTTCGGCACACCCCTCACACGTTTCGTGGCCCCACAGGAGCCAGGAGCAGCCGGCTGAAACCGGAAGCTGGAGGCCGGAAGCTGGAAGCCGGAAGCCGGACCCGGAAGCTGGAAGCCGGAAACCGGAAGCCGGAAACCGGAAGCCGGAAGCCGGAAGCCGGAAGCCAGAACCAGGAAGCCGGAGCCCGGAAGCGGGAGGCTGGAAGCCGAAAGCCGGGCTTAAGCTGGAAGCCGGGAGCCAGGAACCGGGAGCCGGAAGTTGGAAGCCAGAAGCCAGAAGCCCGGAGCCGGAAACCGGAAGCCGGGAGCCGGAAGCCGGGAGCCATTTGAAACCAGAAGCCCGAAGCCCGAAGCCACAAGCCGGAAGCTGGACCCGGAAACCGGAAGCCGGAAACAGGAAGCCGGAAACTGGAAGCCGGAAGCCGGAAGCCGGGAGCCAGAAGCCGGAAGCCACTTCGAGAATGGTGGTTCTTATGCTAGTTGCACCATAGGTACAGCTAGGTATAAGATATTTATAGCAAGGGATCAGTACCTAAGTATTTCTAGCTATTTCTATGTGCACTTAAGTATTTGTCTTGTCGCATAACTATACTTGGGTTAGTTATAAGTATTTCGCTGATGATTAGTGACGCTGGAAGATACTTATAACTACCGCTAAGTTACTTACCCGTGCTGATATGCAATACTTCTAAGTAACATATATGTTATTTATAAGTAACTTATAACTTCCTTCCATCCCTCCTTCGCTTCTCTTCCCCTCCCGCCGCGCGCCCGCCCGCCGCGCCGCAGGGACGTCGCGGCCCGCGGCCCCCACGCAAAGGAGGACGAGGAGGAGGGCGAGGATGAGGACGAGGAGGAGGAGGAGGAGGGGGAGGAGGGATGAGGAGGAGGAGGTGGATGTAGTTTTCAGGAACGATTTTCGGATTTGGGGAAATCTTTTTCTGGATTTGGTGAGGTTTTCTGGATTCGGGGAGGTTACCTGGATTTGAAGAGGTTTTTCAGGATTTGGGATTTGCCCATCGACCTGGAGCTCGTCGCGGCGCCGCCTGGTGGGTGCTCGCCGCGGTAGCGATGGCGATCGCTTGGGTGGGGAGGAGGGGGATGGGGAAGGTAGCGATGTCGATCGCTTGGATGGGGAGGAGGAGGAGAAGCGATGGCGATCGCTTGGGTGGGGAGGAGGGGGATGGGGAAGGTAGCGATGTCGATCGCTTGGATGGGGAGGAGGAGGAGAAGCGATGGCGATCGCTTGGGTGAGGAGGAGGGGGATGAGGAAGGTAGCGATGGCGATCGCTTGGGGGAGGAGGAGGAGGAGGAGGAGGAGGAGGAGGAGGAGGAGGAGGAGGAGGAGGAGGAGAAGCGATGGCGATCGCTGGGGGAGGCGAAGCGATGTCGATCGCTTGGAAGGAGGAGGATGAGGACGGGAAGGGGGAAGAGAAGCGATGGTGATCGCTTGGGGGAGGGCGGGGTGGGGGGAAGAGGACGAGGGGATAGCGATTACGATCGCTGGTCTTTTGTTTTCGCGCTTGCGGGCGCGCGGCGCGCTCCGCGCTTGCGGGCGCGCGGCCTCTCCGCGGAGGCGGAGTCGACGGCGGCGGCATTTGCGCCTTCGCCGCCGCTGGCGCCGCTGGCGGCGCTGGCGGCGCCTTCGCCGCCGCTGGCGCTTTCGCCGCGGCGCGCGCCGCCTTGGCCTTCGCCGCCTTCGCCGCCGCCTTCGCCTTCGCCGCCGCCCCATTCTCCTTCTTCTCCTTCTTCTCCTTCTTCTTCTTCTTCTTCTTTTCCGCCTTCTCCGCCCTCAGCTGCGCATTTTCCGCCTGAAGGCGCGCCTGCTCCTCCCTCCGCAGCAGCTGCGCCCCCTGCGCCTCCTTCCTCAGCTGCGCGTTCTCCGCCTTCAGCTCCGCCTCCCGCCGCAGCACCGCGTCCCTCTCGCCGATCGCGATCGCTAGCTCGCGCTCCGCCTCATTCGTCGTCGTCGTCGCCGCCGCCGTCGTCGTCGTCTCCAGCCACAGCGAGAGCTGCACGGCGCGCTCTGTCTGCTCCGCGTTGACAGTCTGCAGAGGCGGGGGGAGGGGGAGAGGGATGAGGTGGAGGAGGAGGAGGAAGGGGAGGAAGCGGAGGAGGAGGATTCGGGGGAGAGCGATGGCGATCGCTGGGAGGAGGGGGTATCCGCCTCCGCGAGCTGCTGCAGCAGGTTGTCGCGCTGGCGCCTGAGCGCCAAAGCGCGAGCCCCCTGCGCGAGCTCGCGCGGAGCACCCCACATCGCGCCTCCGCGCCCCGCGCGCGCGAGCCCCGCGCGCCTCCACGAGGCAGAGCGGCTGCGCGCGGCGCTCAGTGATCTCCTTTATCATCATCCACCTTCCTTTCAGCGATCGACATCGCTTTCCTTATCCTCATCTCTTTTCCTTCTCCTCATCGTCATCGCCGTCGCTTCACCTCCCCCAGAAGGAGGAGGAGGGGCGACGGGGGGAACAGCGATGGCGACCGCTTGGGGGAGGGGGGGAGGGGGGGTAGGACGTGCACGGACCGAACCCTACGGGTTGCAAAAACAAGAGAGGAGGAGGAGGAGGTGGAGGAGGGATCATAGGAGGAGGGGGAGGGACGGGGTATGTAGCGATGGCGATCGCTTGTGTGAGGAGGAGGGGGATGGGGGGAGGTTGCGATGGCGATCGCTTGGAGGAGGAGTAGGAGGAGAAGGAGAAGCGACAGCGATCGCTTGGGGGAGGGCGGGGAGGAGGAGGGAGAAGCAGAGAAGCGATACCGATCGCTAACTTAAGTAGGCGGCAATCGTATTGAACGATCGCTGTGCATAGCCGTTGTCGGCTTTGTAGTCGCGGGTGACGCCCGCGTGCGCGACGCGAGTGACGCCCGCGGGCGCCATGGCGGCCGACCTGGTGAAGCAGCTGAAGGCCGCCAAGTCGGTCCTCGCCCAGATCGGGAACAAGTCCGACGCGTACAAAGAGATCGCGGAGGCGCAGAGCGCCATGGCGATGGCCATCATGGCGCCGTGGGCCTTCATCTCCGCCGAGGACTCGGCCATGCTGGTCCTGGAGATCGGCCAGATGCCTTTCGGCAAGAGGGCGCTTGCCACGCTGCTCGGCCGCGTCACGACGTCGGCGACGGCCTCAGCGCAAATGTTGGCCGCTAACGCGGCCGCAAGCGCGGAGCTGGCGGGGTCGGGCAGGACGCCGATGCAGGACTTCTCGTCCATCCTCGCCTACCTCACGGAGAGGCAGTGGGACAAGATCCTGGACGAGCGCAACGACTTCATGGGTCGGGTTGCGGTCGTCCTGCAGGCTTGCAAATCCCTCGGGTGGCGCACGCTGCATGAGCCGACGGTTCAACTGGCGGCGTGCGTCGCCCTCCTCGTGGACGGCTTCGATTGGACGATGCGCATGTGTCCGATGGCACAGTGGGGCTATTTCAAGCGGGCGAAAACATACGCCAAGAAGCTCCTGCCGTGGAAGTTGTGTAAGCAGCTTGCCGCGACCGAGCCGTCCTTCGTCAGCGAGCTCCCTGCGGACCCGACTGACATGCCGAAGGTGCACCCCGAGTGGTACTCGCGCGCGTATGGTGGCGGAGGGGAGGCCCCAGCAAACGAGTGCCCGCTGGACCGCACCATGTTGATGGTGCTGTGCGACGC